ATCATAGAGACCATGAAGTGTGAGCAGTTTATCAATGTTTTTACAGGTGGAAGACAGATGCCTCCTGCGGGACACCGATAAGGCAGCCAAGGAGTCCAGCTGGGGGGACTGTAAGAAGTTAAAGTCTCCACACAAAACTAGGTTACCTTCCTTGACCTTGAATATCTTATGTAGTATAGAGCTGAAGTAGTTTCTGGAATCTGAGTTAGGGAAATAGACAGATACAATGGTATATTGAATGTTATTGAATAATATGTGGGTTCACTAATTGGCTTTGGAGGGTAAAAGTGATATTTCTACCAATAAAGATGGAGACCCCTTTGGTTTTGGATTCCGACAAAGCACTTAGAGATCTGCGAAAATCTTCAGGTTTTTAGATGGATCAAGTAGGTCTCCAATCCTGCATGCTTTGGCAGGATAAAAGTGGACCTGGGTGATGACATCACGTGCCACCGAAGAAGGCAGATGACTAGGCCTCCGCAGGCGGTGGGCTCTATCCACCAGCATTTGATCTGGGTGGATTTTTGGAGTGATAGCTTGGAATTGGTCTAGCAGGTATGTTTGGAGCTCCATGTTGGAAATAGACTCCGGTATGCCCCTTATCCTAAGATTATTTCTTCGGGACCTGTCCTCCAAGTCAGTCAGCTTCATAGCCTGGGAGTGTATCATCTTGTTGTATTCTTGGAATTTGTCTGCCATGGTTTTGAGAGCCACTGCAAAGGCATCTTGTTTCTCCTCCATGTGGTCGTGCCTGTGCCCTATTGCCTGTATCTCCTTGCACAGCTCCTTAGTCAGTGTTTGGATTGGAGTGTTGGTGGAGGATTGCAGGGACCCTGTGAACTCCGCCATTATTGTGTGTATTGTAGCTGCTGTGAGGTGACCGTCCTCTGAGACGGAGATAGGGAAGGCAGGAGAAGAGGGAGATCCCTCCCTGGAATGCGTGTCAGTGCCATCTTGCGTGGGGCCGAGGCCTTCTCTGGCTTTCAGCGCAGGAGCCCAGGCCAGGAAAAACAAAGGCCTTTGAGTCTCTGTGACATGGCCAGTATGGAAGTGCTTTTTAGGGAGCTGTACCTCAATTATTTGTGGCTTCCCGGTGCTTGATCCACTGAGCCTCAGCAGCGTGCAGGGATCCAGATCAAGTGCTTCCCCCCTATCATTATTATTTTAAAAGGAAGCACAGGAGGCAAACAACTGTTTGTGATAATAAATGGCTTCACATGATCACTTTCACATTTTTTTGCATGATCAGTAATATTTTCAAAATCAATGCCAAAATTTCCCAATTTATGCCTGGGTATGCAAACCTTTGAGCACGACTGTACATAATTCAGGGCACTGCTGTATTCACTGTTCTAGTATGAATATGAGAGCTTTATGCTGTTGCAGGCTGAGAGAAACCAATGTAAAGTTTTTGAAATAACAACCTGAAGGATGTTATGGCGAGTACCATGGACCAAAGCTGTAAATCTCTAAAACAACTGTTATGTTGTGATGCAAGAGAAACCAATATTCATTGGTGAAACAAAAAAGATATAAGATAAGGCATACATTCATGATATTTCTTAAATACAGTTATTACATAAGCATGAATGTATAAACATGTATGTATACATGTAATGCATTGTAATGCATTAAATTACTCTATGCAATTCCCCTTTTCTCACATACTCACCATGAGATGGCAGTATATTACCATACTTCTCCCTATATATTTCTAATCCGAAGTATTCAGAAAGTCAACAACCTTTAAAATAAATACACATATTGTTTGAATTTCCCTGCTATGCATTTGAATTTGGTTACTTAGAGGTTATTATACTGAGGTACTAACACTTTTATCAAATACACTTTTTATTATCATGCTAAGTAATAAATATGTGTTTAACCTTTTTAGAACAAAGATTATTATTAGTGATTTTTTGAACAGCTCATTTCAGTGCATTTTGCCTAATTCAGTTTGCTATATTTATAAAGCTGTCCAATGTTGTCTGCAAAGAGGGATGGATTTGTTTAGACCTACACATTGTGGGAAGCTTGACCCTAAAATCTCCCTCTTGCATGATTGCAAAGTTGCAGACCTGGCTTTAAAGGAACACTCCTTTCCCTATAACTACTTAAAGGAAATACTGTAGGCACCAAAGCAACTTTAGCTTAATGAAGCCGTTTTTGTGTATAGATCATGCTCCTGCAATCTCACTGCTTAGATCTCTGATATTTAGACGTCTGGTCACTTTTGTTTCTGTTTATATAGCCCTAGCCATGCCTCCCCTGGCTGAGATATATCAGTACAAAACAAGTAATGGACCTGCATTCATAAATATAATTCTAAATAACAAAAGAGCTTTATTTCATCTATGTAAACCTGACAAAGTTATTGACCCAAATGGAACTTTCTTTTAGGCCTAGGTAAGAGTAGTACACTACATTATTTAAACACAGTCAGGGCCGGCGCGTCCATAATGCGGCACAGGAGGCCGCCCTTAGGATGCACCGGTTCTGGGGGCACAAGATTTCAGGAAAGCACTCCTTCCTGCCAGGCCACCTTATGGACACCCCGGTGCAGCTGTGGTATAATCAGAGGCGGCAAGGGAGCTCTAATCTCTCTGCTCAGCTCACTCGCACGCCGTTGGCTGGAGCCAGAATATGATGTTATATTCGGGCTCCCGGCATAAGTAGACAACCCGCGAGGGAGCACAGAGTAGGGAGATTAGAGCTCCCTCGCCGCCTCTGATTATACCACAGCCGCACGCCTCCCAGCAGCCACACTGAACCCCATGGACAGATCCACACCTGCTCTACAGGTAGTGAGGCTGGGTGGACAATGTTTAATTATAAAAATAATAATTAGTGAGTCTATGTCTGTGTGAGTGTATGTGTGAGTGTGAGTGAGTGTGTGTGTCTGTGAGTGGGTGTGTCTGTGAGTGAGTGTGTGAGTGTATGTGTGTCTGTGAGTGCGTGTATCTGTGAGTGAATGAGTGTATCTGTGAGTGAGTGTATCTGTGAGCTAGTGAGTGTGTGTCTGTGAGTGATTGTATGAGTGTGTGTGCATGTGAGTGTATGAGTATGCATGTGAGTGTATGAGTGTGTCTGTCAGTGTATGAGTGTGTTTGTCAGTGTATGAGTGTGTGTCTGTCAAATCAGTGAGAGTATGTTTGTCATTGAGTCTGTGTGTGACTATCAGTGTGGGGGGTGGAGGTGGGGTGTCACTAAGGGGGTGGGGTGTGCACCAAGGGACAGGGAGTGGTGGGGAGTGGAGTGAAACACCAAGGGACAGGGACAAGGGGGGGGAGGGGAGAGGAACACTAAGGGACAGGGAAGAAAGGGGACCATTAATGGATGGGGAGGGGAAAGGGGCTGGTTAAGAGGTACATAGGTGAAGATGTTATTTTTTTTTGGGGGGGGGGTGGAAAATGCATCTTCGCCTATGTACCCAAAAATCCTTGCACCTGCTCTGAACAGAGTGCTTAATTGTACAAAAAAACTAAATGTGGAGTTACAAATAGAGTGATATTAACCAAATAGTGATTTTGGGCCTCATCGATTGTGTCCACAGATAAGAGAATTTTATGGCAAGACAGGAGGCTTCATATTTGCTTATCTTTCTTTACTGTAACTCCCAGCAGCAAAGAAATGGTTAACAATGTTGTATGGAAAAATCAACCAATCATAACATATCTCAACTACAATATAGTGTCATCAAACTCCTCCCACTTCCTCTTTCTTTGCTGCTTGCCTCCCAGGTGAGTCTGCTCCAATTACATTGCCTTACTGGTTTTAAGTTAATTCAATATTTGTTTATTTAAACCTTGTTACTGCATACATAGAATTCATCTTAAAAAATTTATTTTGATTCAATCATCTTTTCCTTTAAATATTTCCTTTAAATATTTCCTCTTTTTCTCACACATATATTATTTTTTCTTATTTCCCTGTATTGTTATTATTGGATTGTTTGTTCCCCTTTAAATTTGGCGTCCTAACCGGTTTTCAGTGCACGGAGGGTTTTTCGAACCCTGCCGTTTTTCACTCAGCTGGCCGCTGCTCTATTCTCTCAGGAAGAGCCGCGGCCCTATTCTCTGCCTCTCTTCAGCCGAGGACTCCATCTCCCAGAGCCGCGGCTGCTTTTTTCCCGCCATTACCTTCCTCCCGCCTACCAAGCGTCTTCCTATGACGCGGACCTTTCCCGCCCTTTCAACGGCGGCGATCTCGCGGCGGCCATTTTAAACTGCAGTGTAACTGCCAACGGCTCCTCCACTGCGGCGCAAGTTTTCACGATCATCCTGTGGGTACAGAACTTTATTAACTAGTTGTGTAAGGTAGGTTGCTGCCACCTTATATCCACCTATTTTTTCATAAAACTCATTAAAAACGATCACTTACTGATCTATCTCCTATCTGGTTTTTTTTTTGGTTTTTTTTCACAGGCTTTGCCCACACAGGACCATTTTATTACACTCTGGGTGAACCCCTTTCCTTAAGTGGTATAATTACAGTGTGGTTTGTTTTTTACCAAATTTGTCTGACTGACCATTTTTATTTTCCTCTTGTGGGTGAACCCCACTTACTTATTTAAAGTACATATTATGTACAATAGTTGTGTGGCTGACACCACCTACTGAATACACTGCTGTGTGCATATTTATGTGGCTAACACCACTTTACTTTATTTTGTGGGTGACCCCCATTACTTACAGTACATTATATATACACATTATATATATTATTGGTGTAATTTTATAGTGGTGACCCCACCTCAGTATCTGTACAATATTTCCTATTGTTCACAATCTGTATTATTGGGTGACCCCCATTAATTATCCTTTACTATTTTATTGTGCCAAGCATTTGTGGGTGACCCCCATTGTTTGACGTCTCGTGGGTGACCCCCACCTCATATTTTTCTAATTGAGTTGCCTCATCCTTAATTGATACTCTTTAATCTATATATATAGAGAGAGATAGTTGTTATTAGGGTTCACATTTATCTTTAAATTGTCATTATGTCAGATCGCCAAGACCCTGCGATCTCTGCTGAACTTAAGGAATGGCTTTTCTCAACTATTGCAGAGTCCATTCCTAAGGCTCTGGCAGCCTACCATGAACGTAATCCAGAGGTACACCCCTCTACACAACAGCCCTCTGACTCTGAGGACTCCCATATCTCCGACCAAGATAGCGCCCCGCGCAAAAGACCCTGGAAAGGGAATAGCGCTACTGCGGGCAAGGGCAAAGCTCCTGCTAAGGTCGTTAAACATTCTAAGCCCTATGTTTCACAGGATGTTACAGACCCTCTAGAGGGTTCTACTTCACGTTTATCTGGCCATATTCTAAGTGACTATGACCCCAATTACTCTGACGAGGATCCCATGGTGAATGTGCCCCAGGATTCCTCAACATCGGAGTTCGTGAAAGAAACTTTCCTAAATCAAGATCACAAGAGTAAGGTACCTGACTCAGACACCCTCCTGGATGCTTCAGGCCTTCCACTTTTTGACCCAAGGGTGATACGCCACCCACGCTCAGCAGAATGGGCTCCCCCAGATCATATTGCTAATTTCTGTAAACTGTGGCTTCGCAAGCCCCTCGAAAAAGAAATCAGAAACAAACTAAGGGCTGAATGCCCGAGACCTACTATCCCAGGCAAAGTTGCCTCTACCCCTGAATTTGACCCCATGTTGGTCACCTCTCGGAAGGGTATTGAACAGGGTTTGAAAGCAACCCAAGACAAATTATTGGACA